AAGGATAAATTTACTACCTTACTTGGAGAAGTCCTTGAGTAATTCTGCCCTTCTTGAGTACTCCCCTCCCTTCTTCTGATAACCAAATAAATACAGGCCACTCACTCAAAGAAGGTTTTGGTCTTTGGTAACTCACAAGGCAATCCTCCCTTCATGAGAGACTTAAACTGTTTTATTAAGGAGTTAATAAAAACTCCTCCCTCTTCACCTATTCCCCTCCAGTTCCCCTCAACAAAACCCAACCTCTCCCTCATCCGCCTTGGCAGAACCAGACGTTCAGCTCTGATGAACAACACCCCCTACTTGGGCTGTTCTGACCCACAAGCACCCGCTGCTCGGGCTGTTCTGGCCCGTGGACAGCCCTCCTGGAAAACATTCTGGCCCATAGACACCCTCCCTGAAAGACAGCTTAAGAACCCCTTGCTTTGCTCAGCTCAGGGCTGTCCTAGTCTGCTGGGCAGCCTGCCATGTCTCTCTGCCCGCCAATAAAGACTCCTCTCCTGTCAGGTCTGGTCTGGTTCTGTGTGGGTCTTGGCCTGAGCATATCATTTGGTGCCAAAAACCCGGGAGGGATGCCAAGGCTCCAGCCAGTCCCTCCCAACCGGGGACCCCTCTCCAGGTCCACAACTGACCACCTCTGAAGCAGACCACAAGCCCCGGACCTGCCACATTGCTGACCTTCTCATCCACAGACACTTCGCACCAGGTCTAAGTTTCCTCTTCATGTCCTCCCCTCCCCATCCTTGCCCCTCCTGTTTCCATCCTATATTCCTCCCTTCCCCTTTACCCTGATTTCTTTGACCCCTCCAAATCTGCTGCCTACTTCGTTGCCTGGCTCTTTCTCTCCTTCTGCCGCCTGATTGCTGACAAGCGCAACGGACCCCTTGTCAGCCCTTGGCAGTCCCTGGCAACTTTCTCGACTGGGTTGACACTGAATTCCTTCAGGGCACTTCTGCCCTCTTCAACTCAAACCATGTCCATCTTTCCTTCCCCTCCTCACTCTCCTCTCTCTCCCTTCCTCTTTCTTTCTCTCTTTGAAGACCTCCCTGTCACACCTCTCGGACAGCTCGTTCTCCTGGCTTCACACCCCTAGTCTCTGCAGCCCCCTCCCAAAATCGTGTCAACACGTGGAGTCACTCCTCCCCTTCTTGTGACCCCCTCCCTGACCAGAGACATCTGCTCAGGGGGCCTGAGTCTCTCGTCCCATTGGGACTTCTCTTGGTTGACAGTGGTCTTCATACTCCTCATTCTCTGCTCTCTCGTCTCTCCTTTGGTCACCATGGACAACACCTCCTCCCTCCCCTACTCTCCCAATGCCTCTGTGCTCCATTGCCTCAAGTTTGCTCTCCACGGCCCCCTCAGCCTCTCTGATCTCAAAGTCAAACGCCTCACCTTCCTCTGCCAAACCACCTGGCCACAATACAAACTAGATAATGGGTCTACTTGGCCACTCATGGGTACTCTCGACTTCAACGTCCTACAGGACTTAGACAATTACTGTTGCTGCAATGATAAATGGTCTGAAGTGCCTTATGTCCAAGCTTTCTTCACCCTCCATAACAAGCCTCAACTCTGTCTTTCGTGTAGCCCCCAGGAGATTCTCCTGGCCAAATCCCCCGCCTCACGATACCGCCTCTCCAACAACTCTTCCCAAACTTCCTCTTTCCCTGAGCCGCTTGATGACCCACCCCTTAGCAACCATCAGCCAGACCAATTCCTCTACCCACCTGGGTGCTCCCAACATAACGTCCCCATCAGGGTGGTCCTGGGAACATCAATCTTGGCAGGAGCTCCGGGAGTCTCTAGCCTTGCAACTTGGGTTGCTCTCAACCTCCAATTGGCTGACCAGCTGGCAAATCATGTCAACCAGATGGCCAACATTTTCTGCTTGATATATTCCCAGCTAGACCAGCTTGCCAGAGTTGTCCTCCAAAACAGAGGGGCACTAGACCTATTCACCACTGAAAAAGGAGGAACCTGCCTCTTCCTGGGGGAAGAATGTCGCATTTATGCCAACCAGTCAGGGCTTGTCCAAGAAAAAATCCAACTACTTAAAGATCAAGCACAACAACTCTGCAATAAATTTTCCTCTCCCATGCCAAGTACCTGGATGAGCCTCCTCCCTTGGCTGCTCCCGCTGTTGGGACCCCTCGCCGCCATTTATGCTCTTCTCCTCTCAGCACCCTGCATTTTCTCCCTCATTCCCAACACAATTCAAAAGTTAACAACTCAAAATTTTAACCTTATGCTTCTTTCAGATTTCCAATATCAGCCGGTCCCTAATGATGATCCTGATGAACTACCCTAAAAACAAACCTAACTACATCCCTCCTCAGGAAGTAGCTACCAACAAAACACGTCACCTCTATCCCTGTTAGATCAAGTCTGGAAAGGTAAGTCACAAGGCAACCCCCACCAAGGGGTATTTAAGCTCTTTTGTTAAGGAGTTAATAAAAACTCCTCCCTCTTCACCTATTCCCCTCCAGTTCCCCTCAACAAAACCCAACCTTGCCCTCATCTGCCTTGGCAGAAGCAGACGTTCATCTCTGATGAACAACAACACCCCCCTCGGGCTGTTCTGACCCACAAGCACCCCCTGCTCGGGCTGTTCTGGCCCGTGGACACCCCCTCCCAGAAAATGTTCTGGCCCACAGACACCCTCCCAGAAAGGCATCTTAGAACCCCACGCTTTGTGCAGCTCAGGGCTGTCCTAGTCTGCTGGGCAGCCTGCCATGTAGCTCTCCCCTCCAATAAAGACTCCTCTCCTGTCAAAAGGTCTGGTCTGGTTCTGTGTGGGTCTCAGCCCAATCATATCAGTCTTAGCCCTGAGAAAACCTCAAATTCTGTGAGGCAACTTTGATCCTCCTGGACCCTTAAATCATTCTGTTTGCCTCTTTTTATTTAGCCTTTGCTGTACCCTCATTCACGAGATTGCCAAACTGATCAGCCCACAATAACTAAGGGATATTATTAACCCAATACTCAACAAAGAGCTCGTGTAGAGACTTACACTGTAACCCCAAAGGTAGAGTCAGGGGTCAGTTAGTGAGCAGAGGTCATGAGCAAAAGGCTTTGGGAACACACAGAAGTTCCCCTACCTGAGGGAGTCAGCTTTTAAACATCCACCCCCCAACACACACACCCAAGGATGACTTCAGCAGGAAGTTACAGTATCTAGCCACAATATCTCTGTGACCACGTCTTCCACACTTCCTCCCTCAGCAGAGCTACAGGACACACCATGAGGGGAACAGAGTGTTGAAAGGACAGAGCAGGAGCAGGGAACAGAGCGCTCACACCCACTCCCTGCAGCAAGGCAGATTGCAGCTGGGACCTGGGAGGGGACAGTGAGCCTTGGACTTCAGACCACACTTTTCACTACCTGAAAATTCAGTTCTCAGAGTAACCATGAATGCTAGAGGGTCTACTAAGATTTCATCCAGCACAGAGAAGAATGGTGGACAAATGCTGGTTTATCAAATAATATTTGGAGAAAACAGAGTTTTATTTGCATTTCACTCCAATCAGGCCAGTACACTCAGTAAACTGGTTATAATTTGGAGGCGCCTGCTGTATGCCAGGCAGAGAGCTAGACATAAAGAATACAGCATGCAAGGTCCTCAGTAGGAATGAGCTTAGACTGTGTTCTTGAGACAGTGGCTTGCGTGGTGCCTGTAATGTCAGAGCTCCACTTGCCGTTCTAATCTCAAATACTCCAGCTCCTTGTCTCAAAGCTGAGCTCATCTTCCAAGATCTGTGTAGGTGAGAGTCCTACGCAGAAACCTTTTCCACAGGTGCCCTTCTGAGCCCTTAATTCACAACTCTCCACAGTGTAGACGTGTGCTCATCCGTTCAGCAGACTAGTGACTACCCGCTACGTGGCAGGCCCTGTGCTGAATAAAGGTGAGAGGCCAAGGGCCCAAGGTGGCTCAAAGTTTGGTTTTCAGGAGTCTGGGTAGAAGAAGGGGAAATAGAGAGACACATTTGTGAATCAACTGTTACACTACAGTCTGATAGACCCCTACAGATGAGTATATTAGGCACAGTGGGATAGAAGACCAGGTAGCACTTGCCTGTGCCTAGGACCTGAGATGTTACCGAGGAGGTGACATGTGAGCTGAGTAGAGGGTGGAGGGTGTCCCGAGACCGGAGGAATTACAGGAATGAGTCCTGCAGGTGGGAAGGGCCCCGGAAGATGAGAGCAGGGCAAGTGTCTGCCACATGAACAACATCCCTTATTTCTGCCAGCAGAGGGAGCCCTTAGGCAACTGATCAGGGAGAAGGGATCAGCTTGATTTCATGAAGCAAGCTAATCTATGCTTTATCTCCAGTTTGCTGCTGTGAACCATTTCTCCTAAGTACCTGTTAGCAAACAGAATTCACAATACAAAGTTCATTCCACATGAAAGATACACACGGCCTCGTTTAAACACCATCCGCATCTTCTTTGCAAAATATTAACACTAGCTTTATTTTGCTAAGGTCTATTTTGTTTTTTTCCATTTAATCTTTCAAAAGACGCAGCTGGAGATTTAGCTCAGTGGCATAAGTGTCTGCCTGCCAAGTACAAGGTCCCGAGTTCAATTCCCGGTATCAAAAAAAAAGTATAAACAAATGAAAAGATGCCACTGTGGTTATGGCCTCTACCGAAGACATCAGGCCAAATAACACCTTGCCCCAACAGCTTGCTACAAACCCAAGTTTCTCTACAGGCAACTGAAGCAAAGGTTTCTTTTGTCTCCAGGAATATCTTTGCTCGGGGCACAGACCAGGCCACAGGGCAGAAAATGTGTTGCAGAAAATAAAACAGAGGAAGAAGCACAGGTGAAATTCTGAAGAACCTTAGATACAAACCTAAAATAAGACTTGCTCTGTAATCATTATGGAAGACAAGAAAAGACTGTAAGCTGTGTAACCAACTTTGTTTGCTAAGAAGACAAATGTAACAGCAATGTAGAAGACAAACCAGGCTGAGAAGTGTAATCCAAAGTTTTCCTTACCCTGTGGGGCTGCGCATCACTAGCGCTGGGTGACTTGACCCTGTAGAGGAGCAGAGGGATCTGCCTTCTGTTCTAGCCAGCTGCTGTCCAAACATCTGGACACAAAGGTCTTTCTGGCAAATCCCTTGGCAATCCCACCGCCTTAGCCCCCTGCCAGGCCTCTCCTCAGGGCAGGACCAGGGTGAGCAGGGAGAGGAGGGTCGGCAGGGGGAGCCAAAGGACTGGGGACCAACAGCCCCAAGGCTGCTTAGCGCTTCCTGCGAAGGGGAATGGGAGATGCGCACGGTCCAGGACCTGACCCAGCATGGCCCTGTGGGCACAGTTAGTCACAGTCCCAACCTCTGACTTCAGATGGAAAGATTAAAAAAAGGGAGCATTTTCATTCCCACGTTTGGAGCAGGAGTCTCTCTCTCTCTCTCTCTCTCTCTCTCTCTCTCTCTCTCTCTCTCTCTCTCTTTCTCTCTCATTTTTTACTTGCCAAACTTTCTAAGTTCCTAATTAAGGTCTGAACAGCAGATGTGTATGTTCCTAAACAAACCCGGAAGCTCCAGACTGCAAACAACACCTGTCAAAACATAACTTGCCAGCACTCAGCATAAGTCACAGACCTGGTTGATATGGCAATAATTAATACTCTTGAGAATAATTAGCAAGCAAAAAGATTTGTTTATTAATATATTTGCCACAAGCAATTTATATCTCAGGGAAAGACGACCAGAAACTATCTAAGTATCCAGAACTATCTAAGTATCCAGAAGTCACTTCACAACATTAGCAAACATTGAAGGTCAGCTGGAAGGTACTACGTGTTCTCATTAAAATGGTAATTAGCATTTATAGGAAGATTTGATAAGAAAAAGGAATGTTTGCCTTTTTAGGAGGAGGGGTGCACTAACCAGCATTTGGAAACTTTCCTGGGGGCAGTTTCCCCAGGGAAGACAATGACACCTCTCACCTGAGAGGTTAAGAGTTGGCATAGAAGCCTCCTTCCTCAGCTGCACATTTGAATTTTTTATCCTTTATTTGATGGTGACTTGTTTTTAATTTTTTCCAAAAAGTATTAAACACATAGTTCCAAATTTTAAAACTTTTACATAGAATTCATCCCCGCCACATATTTTAATGTGTGAAAAACCCAAGTAAAGGTATCAACCTTTCACTCCCATATAACAACTACCACGAAGGAGCACTGCCAGGCTCAGCTGATTCTCCTGTTGCTTCAGATTTAGGCTGCAGTTAGGGCAGGGTTGCTGTGGAGGAGGATACAGGCAGTGGGAGAGACAGGAGACTAGGAAAAGAGAGAGGAAGTGTTGGGGACTCAGCAGTGGGGGCAGCAGGGTTCGGGGAGTTGCCAGGGAGCCCCCACTCATCACCCAGGAGGTGCTGGGCAATGGGATGAGAGGAGGACCCAGGGCAAAGGCCAGGGGGAGCCCCCCAGAGATGTGGTATAACCTGACCCTCTGAGAGGGAAACCAGCTCTTTTCACTCTTCACCCATGAGCACCCAGGCTCCCAGCTGGTCTCTGTCCAAGTCTCACTGTGAGTGGGGAGTGTCCTGTGTGCCCAGTGAATGCCTAGCCAGTGGTAGTTATCACCTGAACACAGCAGACATGCACAACAGGAAAACAGTGTCCCACAGCACCCGGAACAGCTGTACGGCCAAAGGGCCCCCTGGCCTCCTAGTGGGGTGGAAGAGAGGGACACTCTATGCTGCACCTAGATGAGTACACCGGCACATGGTAACAGGGGCAGTTTAGACCCCTGGGTCAAATTAGCAAAGTAGAATTAGCACTCATGTAACAATGTAGCACCCAGAGAAGCAGGTAACGTGAAAACCCAATTGGACATCACTGTTAGGGAGGCCAGGACATTTTTCAAAGTTAGGGCACGGGTCCTAAACAACTAAGCTGAATAAACTACAGTTCAGGGCTTAAGGGAGTTGACATACAAGGGACCAAAGTAATTAACTAAAATAAACTGATTATCAGGGCCTAATCAAGTGCAAAAGACAAAGAACAGGTTTCTAAACAAATTAAAAAGAACCTTGGAGACACAGAATACAAACAAGACAGACTGCTTTTCCCTGGCAGCAAAGGCCTGGCAACAACTAGTAGCATCCCTGTATTCTATTGGGTTCACCTGTACCGAAAACTGTTTAAAAGGCCCTGGATTTAAACGTCTATGGTTTATTTCACCTTTCAAAAAGCCCCTCTCCAACAGCAGGAAGTGGAAGGGCTTTTCTTTCTATTCTTCCTAATATACATGCACCCGGTCATTGTCCACTGCTTGCTGCTTTGTGCCTTTCTGTCTCAGTGTGTGACCGTGGGTGTGCAGAGGATGAAGAGTAGCTGGAGATGAGATTTAGTTCAGTCGCTGAGAACTCAGAGGGGCTGCTTCCTGGGCATAAGCGAGCCTTCAGGAAACAGCAGTCAACTGAGATCTCTGCGGTTATTTAAACGTAACTCAAGGACAGGAGAACAAAGACGTAGAAAAAGGGCAGATTGTATCACATTGTACAGGAGTTTTTGTTAGGAGCCAGGGTCACAATGGGATGGTTTTTTACATGACCACATGCTGATTTATCAGGGCAGAGGGGACACAATGGCCAAAGCGAACACCTCTGACAGTAACTTGCTCGCAATTCTGCGGACTACTGTTCTGCAGGTTTGCTCTAAACTCTAACCATGCATTCCAGGAGCATGGGAACTGCTGCTCCTCAAAGTCCCTTCGTTACCTCACTCAGGTTCAAACACTCCTTTGGCCAGTGTCTCCCCCCAGGTTTCAATCTTCATTGCCCCAAAACAAGGACCTAGAGTGGCAGGGAACTGGCTATACTAGGGTAGCAAAATGTTGAAGTTTTAGTGTTACCTTTTTAAATCTGTAATCGTGTCTTTTCAAATTTCCTAAGAAGTTTATTACTCCTTGCTCTTCTCATCCTTGAGGAGAACCAGGCATGACTGAGCCCACAGTGGGAGAGGCTGCCACCATGAACTCAGGCCCTCACCCCAGGAACACTCACCTCCCTAAGCCTTCACTCCTATGTTACCTACACAGCCCTTCTCTACTGACAACCTGTCACTTCCTCCAGATGCCAAGAGGCACAAGCTCTCCTCCTGGAAGTTCCCCACCTACATCCTCATCCTCAGCTGCAGGACTAACAGAAAGGTGTGTGTGCGCAACAGGCTCCTCCTTCCACTGTGCTGGGCCTCAGTCAGCTTGACCTTTTTTTTTTTTCCTTATTTTTTGCCTCAAATAGTAACCACACTTGGTGACAAACTGAATTCTCCCCATCCATAGGCCCCATAGCAACTTCTTTCAGCCACGTCTACCTGGAGATCTTGTGACTACTGCAACTGCAGACAGTGTGTTGATCTCCCTATTACTCCGTCTATCAACTGTGTGTCGCTCTCCTTTGGCAATGGACGTTTGCTTCAAAGAGAAAGAAATCAAGTTGTATCTTATGATGAAAACACCTTTTCTCTGACCCTCCCTCAGGCCCACACCCAAAGGCAATCGCTTTTCACACTTGTACTTCCGGCCGCAGGCCTACTCTCAATCACTTCAGCCTTTTCCATGTCGGAGCCCTGGGTGGGTCCTCTGTGGGCCACCAGCACAGGACTTTCTCCCCACAGAGACTTGGTGACTCCTTAGGGCCCAGCTGTCCACACCCTTGAACTCTGAGGGACTTATTAATGGAATGGAATCTCTGTTCTTTCAACTCTTAATACTACCTAATAAGAATTTATGATGTTAATTATTATTTGCTTTTTACTATGGTAACAATTATTATTCTTATCATTTACTATAGTACTGCGCTAAGCACTGTGAATGTATGATTGCCTTTCATTGTCCCAACATCTCAAACAGGAAGGGATTTTAATCTCCACCGACAGATGACCAAATGGAGGCTCAGAGAGGCCCACGTAGCTTGCTCAGAGCCATGCCTCCAGCAACAGCCCAGATTCAGCACTTGACACAGCCTGGTTCCCAAGTCTGGGCCCTGCCTCTGTGCTTTGCTGTGCCCCTATTTCTGAGCCTGTGTTCAAGGCAGCCTCCGTGTCACCTCTGCCACGTGTCTCCTCCTGCCACCCGCTCCACCCAGATCAGAGCCTCAGTGTCTGCCTTGCCTTCCTGGCAAGCGCTCTGTTCTAGTCCAGGCTTCCCCCAGCACCAAACACCCTTAAAGTCCAGGTATCATCAAGGCACCATCCTGCACAAAGCCTTCTCTATGCGCCTCTGGCTTAGAACGGGACTTTCAAACACCCTTCTGCCCCTAGAACCCCTCCTTGAAATACAGCCTTGTGGGGACATTGGATATATAAACAATCTTAGACTCTGCCTCCAACTGGGTAAGCAGCAAGGAGACCACCATCTAAACAACTACCCCACAACAGCAAAGTTCCCCAGCCACCTCCAAGGACGCCCCGTGCTCTTGCAGTTCAAACTCCTCTGATCCCGTGGCTAGCCAAAACTGTTCAAATAAAGCTGCCTCAGGCTGTCAGGGATGCCAGCAAGCCTCTTCTCACTCACTGCTAATGGAAGGTGTGAACTGTTACCACTGTTTGGGAAAGTAGTATAGCAATAGCTATTTGAATTAAATATGCATATGCACCACACCCAGCAGTTTCACTCCTGGGAATCTGTACCAGAGAAATAAAAGCAGCAAGTCCTTTAGGATGTGTATCCAAGGATGTTTATTCTGCAAAATTATTAGTGCTTGCAATGGAAAAAAGTTGGATCAGAAAAGGCACTTCATTAGGAAATGGAAATGGTCAGGTGAATTGTGGGACTTTCATGCCTTGTGGAATATATAGTCACTATATAGGAAGAATTAGATCTGTCCCTTACCAATTGACTTGAAGGTATTTTCATGGCCTATTGTTTGTTTGCTTGTTGTGGTACTGGGTATTGAACCTAGAGTCTTTGAACTGGACCATATCCCCATTTTCTTTGAGACAGGGTCTCACTAAGTCACTAAGGTGCTCAGGCTGAACTCAGACTTGCAGTCCTCCTACCCCAGCCTCCCAGAGTGCTGAGATTACAGAAATGCACCAGCAAACTCCGCCATGATAAAACAAGCTATAGCAGCACAATTCATGGTAGCAATAAGAAGTAAAAAGTATTTTCATTGTAAGAAATAAATATACACAAATAAACAAGCATTCAAAGCTAGG